CATTATATCAAACAAAAATATTAAACTAAATAAACTAACATACACTATATTAAATTAAACTAAACTAAACTAACATACATTATTATATTAAACTAAACCAAAATAAACTAACATATTATAATACAACAATTAAAAACTAAACTTAAATAAACTAAACTAATAAACTAACATATCATAATACAACCTATTCATTTCAAATATTTCAACATATTAAAATGTAAATACAATAATTTGTATACACTACACTAAAAAAAATAATAAACTAACATATGTCTAAATACAATTAGTTACTAACATGCCAAGTATAAACTAAACTAAGAATTTTAGGGTTTATATAGTCTCTAACCTGTAGATCTACACTTGTTATTGACAATCAAACCAAGTAACTCTACAAATCCTACAAAGAATTCAAATTAAAAAAACTTAATTCTTGTTTATACTGTCAATTTTTATAAGAAAATAAATAACAAAAAAAAAGGGGGCAAGACTTACTGGGGCTGCAGAACGACGATAGGCTGGTGGTGGTTCTGGTCGTAGATCGGCGGGAGGCTGGTGGTGGTCCTGGTGGAGTCACGGCTGGTGGTTGTGGTGAAATCCGGTGGTGGCTGTTAACATGGTGGTGGTTAGGGTTTCACGAAAAAAAATGGCGAAGAAACTTACCGGACGGCGGCGTTGGAGCAGCAGGGGACGGCGGCTTCACGGCTGGTGGTTGTGGTGAAACTTGGTGGTGGTTGTTGACATGGTGGTAGTTAGGGTTTTGACGATAAAATTTGACTAAAAATAAATAAATTAACTACACTTACCAATTGCGGCGGCGTAGTTGAGGCGGCTCGGTGGTGGTTGGCGGAACAAACGGCCTGAACTCTCTTTCTCTTCCTCTTTCTCTCTCTTCGTATTTCTGAATCAGGGTGTTGAGCTGCATTGACTTTTTTTTTATTTTGTTGTTAGTTCCAACGGAATTATTTCCCTCGGAATTTACAGCTTCCGACGGAATATTCCGTCGGAAAAAAATTTCCCGATGGAATATTCCGTCGGAAGCAGTAAATTCCCGAGGGAAAAAAAATCCGTCGGAATAATTTCTAGGGATTTTACGTCGCAACTTACCTTTTCCGGCAGAATTTTTTGACAAACCCAAATTCCGTCGAAAAATTCAAATTTTTCGACAGTCCTTCGAAAAACGGCCTATTTCTAGTAGTGTTTGATTAAATAAATATCTGAAATTTATATGAATAATTTAACAATATGAAATAACCAAAATCAATATCAAAACATAATCAAAATCATGCTTTAAATCAATAAAAAAAACTAGAATTAAATTAGGAAAAGAAAAGAGTTTTTTTTTATATAACAATATTGAACCAAAAACAAAAGAGAGAGAAGGTGGGTGACTGCCGGTGGTTGTCGGCTACTGCTGCTGGCCGCCGGTGGTCGGTGGTGGCGCCGGTGGTGGCGTCGGTGGCTGTCGCCCGTGAGGGGGGAGGAAAAGAGGGAGAGAGAGGCGTGTGAAAAGAGAGAAAAAGAGAGGAAAAAGAAGAGAGAAAAAGGAGAGAAAATAGGAGGAAAACTTTTGGGGTTTTTGTGAAATCTGACAATTATGATTTTTTATTGAAAAACCTTAGGATTTTAAAGTATTTATACTTCCCTTTTAAAACAAAAACTCATAATTACAAGACTGTCATTACTAAATCCTACTCCCCCTTAACTTCTTCCTGTGGGGCCAACTTGTTGGGCTCTTAAGTGTCCTCAATTTCCCAACAAGTTGATCCAACTATTTAAATAAGGATGACCCAATTCAGAATATTTTTATTGCCTCAATTAATGACTTATAATATTTTTACACACTTACATAATATTTAAATAATAAATTTCTTTTAAAGTGAAATGAATAATTTTAATTTATAAAATAAATAAAATAAATAATTTATATATAAATATTATAAAATTACGGAGTATTACATTATCGACGTATATCTTAATCTCACTGATCGGAAGCGGCCTCTAGCTAGGCATTTCGATCACTTGACTTCACCGAATAATTAGCTTCGTAATTAATTCTGAACCCTCTATCGGAATAATACACTTGTTCGAAGGACATCATTCCTTTCATAATTTAGAATTTTAATTTGCATATTGTTATTCAAGCCAAACGACAATGCAACAACGAGTGCATAAGCATGTTATTAGAAAGGTAAATAAAATTAGGATTTATCAAATAATTTGGGGGGTTTTTCAATTGTAATTAGGGTATAAAATATATTTGGGATTTGATTCTAGGGTTAATTAGCTGCAAAATTGGTTCTTATTTCACGAATTACTGCCAATTAAGATTGCTATTTGCTATTTTTTTTGGTTTGGCAAAGATCTTGTATTTATGTGCAAGATTTGCAAGTGTGTATATCTAGTTTCCTTGCTCACTTCATGGACCAAGGAGAACCTCCTCTAATGCCGCTAATTTTACTTCGCTTTTGGTCCTCCCCTCTGCGCTATTTCTCTAAGAATAGTGACAAAACCCTATTTTAGGAAGGAAAGAGGGGAGAGAGAGAGATAGAGAGAGAGAGAGAAGAGTGATGAATGTATCAATTGCATTCAATTTGGGTGGGTGAGAGATCAGCTTTGAGGGTTAAACAAGAGAGAGGAAGAAGAAGGAAGAACAAATGTGAAAATCGAGAGAAGAAAAAGGGAAAAACAGGGAAATTAAATAGGGGCAGTTAGTGGGCCCACCATGACGTCATTATAGAGCGGTTGGGAAAAAAGGTGGTAATTTTTTATGTTTGAAGACTTGTTGGTGGTATCTATTACATACTACTTAAAGTAAAACTAATAATGACACTTGGTAACATATCATTAAAAAATTTCCCTCCAAATCTATTTGCTTAAAAAAAAAAAATCATTGTTATAGAAAAAGAAGGTTTGTATCTAATTTATGACTTTTACTTTATATAAATCTAAACTACCTTCCTAACATATCAAATTGCCTATTAAAACCATTTAATTTTTTTATTACTATTTTAATACTATATTATTTATTCATACTTATTAATACTTGGTTAGTCGATTTATTATATTTTATACCTTTCTTTGTAAAGTCATTTTCATTATAATAATTTAACAATCGTGCATTGTACGGGACTTAACCTAGTTTACTAAAATGACTATAATAGTAAGTGGTTATTTTCAAATTTTCCTAATAAAAAGGAAAATTTGAAAAATACCACCATCTATTGTTGCCATTTTGTACAGTACCACCTCAAGTTTTTTTTAATTGTATTTTACCACCTAGTTTTATCAAAAACACTAAAAACTACCACCACTTTACCCCAACCTCCCTAGATGACATCATGGTGGGTCCCAATAACCACCTCCCTTTCGATTTCCCTCTCCCTTCTCCCGATTTTTCCCCTGTTCTTCCCTCTTTCTTCTCTTCTTTCAAATTTTAATTCTTCTGTCGCAATTTAGGGTTAGAATTCTGCAATTACAACTTCCATCGAATTAACAATTCAAAATCGAGGGGAAAATTATGTGTAATTAGGGTTAGTGAAATCAAATTGGGGTTTTCTCAATTGAAATTAGGGTTTTATGAATTGATTAATTGGATGAATAATTGGTTTGTTTTCTCGATTAATTACTAATTACTTAGATTTGGTTTTTGCAAGGATTTGGTATAAGGCTGCAAACCAGTAGCTTTTGGACAATAAGATAAGAAAATTTTCACACAATTAATACATGAAATTGGGGCCAAAACACTAACATGGTAATGGCGATTTTCCAGTAAGGTCAGCCCTCTACTCTAGAAGAATTAAAATTTGAAATAAGAGAAGAAAGATAGAAGAACATGGGAAAAATCGGGAGAAGAGATAGGGAAATTGAAAGGGAGGTGGTTATTGGGACCCACTATGACGTCATCTAGGGAGGTTGGGGTAAGTGGTGGTAGTTTTTAGTGTTTTTGATAAAACTATGTGGTAAAATACAATAAAAAAAATACTTAAGGTGGTATTGTACAAAATGACAACAATAGATGGTGATATTTTTCAAATTTTCCGAATAAAAATGAAAAAAAAAAATTAATATATGTGTATAATTTCTGCATACTTTTCTCTATCTAATTATCATTTTCCTTGCTCATTTAATAACCACTTAATATTTGTAAATTTAGCTTCCCCCAAGTGTAATTTTATACTGTAGTTATCTTGGCTATTCTTAATCGTTTGGACGACAACAACAACACCTTAGTCTCAAAATAAGTTGGGATAGTTCGGAGCGTGTGAAAATTTACTCAAGATTGGTATTCACTGTTATATGAGGTGCAGTTTATGCGGAAGAGAGGATGCATGATGCGTCTATCTATTAATCATTTATTCTTCCAATGTGACTTTTCAAAGGATGTGTGGATTCCAGTCTGAGTTTGCTTGGGGTAAATAGAGCAGTTGGTGATTGGCGCTTGGAGAGTCATATCTAACATTGCTTTAAGAGGAAAGTATTGCAAGGAAGTATTATACAAATCTGTGCTTCATCCTCCTTTATATCAAGTATAACAAATAGGGCTGGCAAACCCTGACCCGACACGAAAACCCGACCCGAACCCGACCCGAAGTTACTGAGAGAGACCCGAACCCGACCTGAACCGAACCCGAACAACCCGAATTCGACCCGATTTGACCCAAATTTCATATTTCATAATAATAATAAGTTTTACACTATTTTTAATAGTTTCTAAGCATAACCCGAAATCGACCCGAAATCTGACCCGAACCCGACCTGCTGACCCGAATTGCCACCCCTAATAACAAACCGTTACAAATTTTCTCTATTATATTGCATAATCAATCATATGAGGACCAAATTTTTTTAAAAAAAATAAATAAAAAATACTTAAAATAAAAAATTAGAATGTCACGCAGCAAATCAGATGAATTTTTTACTCCAAAAAAAAAAAAAAAAAAAAAAAAAAATGGAATAATAACAATGATCATGTTTTAATCGTGCTTCCAAAACCCAGCTAATTGCAGCGAATATTAACACTTTCCGTGGAAACGACATGAGAAATTGTTTCTTGAATCCCAATTTTTGCCATATACCTTTCAATTCCCAGCTATAACAAAAGTTAACTATCCGTGAACACAACACACCAACACCTCGCAATCATGATCAACAACCCAGACAAAATATGTAGTGGTCAGGTGAAAATCATCAATTTAATCTGTGTACAAAAGATTTGGCACCCAAGAAATTAGCAAGAAAATTTCTATCCACAAGTCAGCGCGTATGTTTGTTAGTCGCCAAAAGCAAAAGTGAGCAGAAAATCTGAAGCTATCATCTACTTTCATTGTATAGTATACTGTCATCTGGATGCCCTGTCTTCTCTCCCTAGCCTGAAATTGCACAAGGGCACAAATCAGTAGGTTTGGATAAATGCTATCTCAAGCATCCAGAGACACGAGATCAATATTGGCGATGAACCACCCTCAGGGGCATTTACAAGCATGTTCCAGAATTCCTCAACGCGTATGTTTGTTAGTCGCCAAAAGCAAAAGTGAGCAGAAAATCTGAAGCTATCATCTACTTTCATTGTATAGTATACTGTCATCTGGATGCCCTGTCTTCTCTCCCTAGCCTGAAATTGCACAAGGGCACAAATCAGTAGGTTTGGATAAATGCTATCTCAAGCATCCAGAGACACGAGATCAATATTGGCGATGAACCACCTTCAGGGGCATTTACAAGCATGTTCCAGAATTCCTCAAACGAAATTAGAGATCAAAGCTATGCACTTCTACTCTTTGATAGAATTAGTATATTTTCACAGGCCAAATATTTTTTGTTTGGGGGGGGGGGGGGTGGTGAAGGGAAGAGAACCTTACTAATGACGACTTCTCTGTTGGGACCTTCCGCACTTTAAATAATTGCTTAGAGGAGTTTTCGGTACAGGAATCAACTTCCCCAAGGCAGCAAGAGGCCAACTAGTTCAAGAAAAGATCAGAAGAAGACGTCAGTCAAAAGTTATTTTAGAGCTCATTGTCAAAAGAAAGAGGTAGTGAACCCAAAAATGAAACTATAGGGAGATTAACAAGTTAGCCAATCAATACATGACATAAACATGGCTTATGTTGAAGGAGAAACAGGAGGGGGGAAGCATACAAAGAGAAAAAGCTTATGCCGATGGAGGAGTAGGAAACCAAAAAAGAGTAGACAAAAAAAAAAAAAAAAAAAAAAAAAAAAAATTGTACCTGATAGCACCAATGACAACGCAGACAAGCCACATCTGCCAGTTCAGCCTTACAGTTTTAGCAAACTTGCCAAGGAACTCAACTATCACAATCTGCAATATACGTGACACAACGAAACAAACCCGAAAAGAAAAATTAGAGCTGCACGACTTAAAATAATTAATAGTGCATACACATAATTTCACCAGCTTTACCTGAAGTACTAAAGTTACTGCTATTATTCCCATGAACAATTGATTTTTAATAACTCCGTCAAATATATTGACTTGATCGGGCTTACGAGCATTGAACTCATTGAATATCTGTGCATCATCAAATTGCATCAAAGTCAGTACTTTGGCAACCTAAGTCAATGAATTTATCCAAACACCAAAACAGCACCACAAGAAATCTAAGCATACCCCTCCCCCCCCCCCCCCCCCCAAACCCCTCTTCTCTGAAATTGGCTATTAACTGAACACAACTTTTTTCGTCGAAAGGAGGATTTGATTTATGAAAGAATTTTGTGATGGTATCCCAAGTAATTTTTTTTGTCCTCTGACATTTCATATTCACTAAAATGCTGTAATCATAGATTCATAGGTACTAGAATAGGCTACACTCTGAACAATTGGCCATAAAAGCTGCATTGCATTACAAAAAAGAAATTTCCACTAGCGCTCACCTGACAAAGGACAAATGCATTGAAGATCACTGTATTCTTTACTTGGTTAGCAAGTTCAGTGGTATCATGCCGCAAATGTAAGATATTTCGACCTTGGAAGTTGAGTATAAGCAGAACAATCACTTGATACACAGCCTATTATTTCCAAAAAAAAAAAAAAAAAAAAAAAAAAAAAAAAAAAGACGTGTTATAATATACAATAACATTGAACATAAACCAATTCAACTATAAAGGCTTATCTGAACTTTCTGCAAAAGAACAAAGTAAGAAGCTGACCTGTATCAATAGATTCCTCCACATAATATTTGTTATAAGAGGCTCCCTACAAAAATAGTGTTACAGATTTTTATATTCCAGAATACTCAAAAGACCAAACTTAGATCAATCGCTTGATAACCAGTCAAGAAGTCTTTAATACTAAGGAAAAGAAAGCAACAACGCAAAGTGGTATAGAAGCAATCCCAATAAGAACTTATAGCTATATAATATGATACTATCAGGATACAATAAACATTTTAGTAGTAATATACTAATATTTATGTAAATAAGCAATAGAAGGTGTATTCTGGATCTCAGGCTTCATATAATTTCACACAAAAGCTAGCATAACCTCTCCATATCTTCTTAGATTAGAATCTTCTTTTGAACATCAAAGCATGTAAACGTCTGGCACCTCAAATTTCAATGTCCATTTTTTTTAGATTAGGATCTTTCTTTTGTACATCAATATGCTAATGTACAATCAATTTTTGGTAGCACACCTAGATATTGCAGGAAAAACAAAAAAGTGATACTGTGGATTGATCTCACAATCCAGAATTGCTATTTGTAGATGTGTCAAGTACCCATCACCTAGTCAGAAAAGTTGATTGGTTGTCTAGTGCCAATCTGGTGACTCAATTTTGGTGATAGCGCTCCAACTCTTCTCTTATTCTTTCTGAAATGTCTCACAGTGAACTAGTTTGTTTCTGCGTCTTTCACTTGTTAATCTCAGCCTATAGGTTTGTAAAAACGGGCCCCACTACTCAGAAGGTTTCTCTTATAGATCTAGTTATACAAGAAAATTTGGATTGAATTACCTTTTTTAAAACAAAAAATTTATATCTTTTTATAGTAAAATGTTTCTCTGATTCTTGGATTTCAGAAAATTCCATTTTCCCTGTCTCCACTTCTTATTCCCATTCCAACTGTACCTAGCTCTATACAACCAAACTTATTCATTTACAGGATTGATTTCCCTCCCACTCATACCCTACGATATGGCGCATGTTATGGGTAACAGCTGATAGATACATCAGAATATAGTCAAATTGAAACTTGTTTGCAGAGATCATTCATGATGCAAAGATTGCAAACAAGAGAAGCAAGTATATGGATGGAAAGTATATTTCCTATATCATAACAAATCATATTGAGCAGAATAAACAAACGTATATCCAAAAGTTAAGCTTCCAGTACCAACCTTCGACCAACAGGAGGTCTGTGCATAAGGTGATCTGTAGGTGGTTCTGTAGCCAATGCAAGTGCTCCTAGAGTATCCATTATCAGATTGACCCAGAGAAGCTGCATAATAATATAATATTACTGAAGAGTGAAGACAGTCATGGGACAGATGTTACACAACTCAAGACTAGGAATTCCCGTATCCTTCCAAAGGATAGAAAGAACAGGAGAGACGGCTACCTGTACAGCATTCAATGGAACATCACCAGAGGAAAATGCAGCAACAACATTTATAATGAGGGCAGCCACGTTGACTGTAAGTTGGAACTGAATGAATTTCTGAATGTTTGCATACACAGATCTACCCCATCTAACAACCTGAAAGAGTTTAAAGTATAAATGTTATCTAATCATATACAGCACATAATAATATGAAAAGAAAAAAAAACAAAGTAGATTTTCACTTGAAGAAGCCTCCTAGTAGCAAACATTAAGTTGATAAATATAATCATGTCTTGACTTAAACTTTCAGAATATATACAGCAAGTTTAAGTTGATCGGCATCTCCGCAACATCATTATCTTTCCAGAGACCTCATGCATCATGACCACTAAGTGAAATGAGATTTACTTCTTTCGGTCAACAGACTAACAAGGACCAACCTACCTTAACAACAGAAGCAAAATTATCATCCAGGATGATGATATCGGAGCTTTCTTTTGCCACTTCTGTACCAGCAATACCCATTGCAAGACCAATGTCTGCCTAAAGGGGTAAAAAAGGCAGAATTTCAGTTACACCAAATAAGGAAAGAATTGCAGTTTACTACCAGAATAAATTAATGACAGAAGGTAAGTCAGCAAACGAAAAAAAAAAAAAAGAGGATAGAAAATATCTTAATACACATTTGGCGTTTGGTTGGGGGGTTTAAACAAAGGGAGAGGGAATGAAAGGGAATGAATCCCTTTGTTGTCGTTTGTTAGCGACATTCTTTCATTCCCTTTCCCCTTCTTTATTTTTGGGTTTACCCAAAAGTAGTCCACCCCCATTCCCCCCCCCCCACCTTTACCATTCCCTTTCCCCAACCACCACCATACACACACCCCACCAACCTCGCCGGACTGCAGTCACACCTCGCCGAATGGTCGCCGGCTCTCCCCAACCTTCGCTCCACCTTCGCCGGCTCTCCCCCGACCTCGCTCCACCTTCGCCGGCTCTCCCCCGACCTCACTCCACCTTCGCCGGGTCCCCCGACCTCGCTCCACCTTCGCCGGCTCTCCCCCGACCTCGATCCACCCTCCCCCGACCTCGCTGGTCGCCACCGGAATTCCAAACAACCAAATTCCAGAAAAAAAAAGTCAAAAAATACCCTAAATGGTGGTGCTGTGGTGTTGGTTCTATGGAATCATTCCCTTTGTTTTTTTTTTTAACAAACAACACCCTAAATTTCAAGGGTTTCATTCCATTCTCCTCCATACCCTTTCCCCATTCCATTCCGATTCCACTTTGCAAACCAAACGGCCCCTTATAGGATTATGAAATACCTCATGTAATGCTGGAGCATCATTGGTTCCATCACCAGTGACAGCTACAACATGACCCCTCCTCTTCAAAGCTTGGACAAGCAAAAGTTTGTCATTAGGTGAAGACCTTCCCATAACCTGTACACCAGCAAACGTAGTCAGTTAGTTACTACTGTCGGTCGAACTAACAATTTTATTTTTTAAGAACTTCAATCAAAAGTTAAAAGTTCAATTCTTTCTAAGGAAATCAAGCAGAGCATATAATGATGACATCAGTAAATGAAGTGGAAGTGCGTACGGATATCTTTTCTGCAATCTCTTCTCTCTGAGATTCCGACATGCTACGAAATGACTTTCCCTCAATCAAGTTTGGCTCATTAGCATCTGCATCTGAAGCTAGGATGCCACACTCCAGAGCTATAGCTTTAGCAGTTTGAAGATTGTCACCAGTGACCATGCGCACCTAAAGCAATGAGATCTACACAATTATTATTGGCAAGATAAAAGATTCAGAATCAAAGAAAAAAAAAATGGAGATCAAGTAAACAAAAAAAAAAAAAATCAGAAGTCCCTGCCATTCACACCAATCAGGCTATATGCACCCCTAAAAGTCAATAAAAGCCACACTTTATATGCTGATCTAACTCCCCAAAATTTTGAAAAATGAATATCCTCTAACATTATCTTTTTATGGTTAATAATATTAATATAATTGAAAGTGCAACAACTTCATACAACTGGTTTTTAACGCACAGTGGCTTTTAAAAAAAAAACACCCTAGTTTTTCTCATGTTACTTGGGTCTTGGACTTACTGTATTCTATTCAAGAACTTATGTGGACCTTTAGAATTAAGAAAGGGAAACAACCTTTAGCTTGTTACCTAGGTGGATTATTATGTGGCCAAAAGGCCCAAAACAATGTCAAACTCCTTAAAATTCAATAAAACTCGATACACAACAAATAAATAAATAAATAAATAGTTTAGTTAAAATAACATATATACTTCCACCATTCATTTAGTTGACATATTTTGACTTTAGGGGCTTTGGCCAGTATTCACATAAGTTACTTTGATTTCCTTATGGTGTTTAATGCATAAGAGGGGGTTTTGGGGGAGGGGGGGAGCATAGTCATGTGGGGCCTTATTAGATTCGCCTCAATATATAATTTTTTTATAATTTTCTTATTAATAATTGATGACGTTTGATTGCCATTCGGCGAACATGCCCAAAAAAATGTGTCAACAAAAATGGAACGGAGGAAAATCATCTTTGCTTCCACATGCCAGTAAAAATTGACAGGCCCTAATGCATGTGTTGAATAGTGTGATAGTTTCACCAGTTCAAAAACCTTGGCATAGCCAATAGTAAGCTAATGCAGATGCACAGGGCCAGGGTCAATATTAACTTTGTCATTCTTGATAATTAATTTAATGCAAATTTAGGGGAGGAAAAAAAAAAGGTCATCATTAATTTAGCAGTACTATAAATAATCGCAACTTCAGAAACATACCTTTACGCCAGCAGCCCTGCATAACTCAACGGAATCTCTGACTCCAGGGCGACAAGGATCCTACAAATTAACCATCAAACTGCTTAAATTCTGGTGAAGCATTCTAATGACATTCAACTCCATGTTACCAGCACTAGTTGACATAAACATGAAAAGCACAAAATCAAGTACCAGCAGTATTGAAACACAAAGAGAATAATTAACAGGTAAATAAGAAGCAAAACGTATGCATTTGATGAAGCTAACCTCTCCTAATTACTGTTACTCCAGACACTGTCCCAAATTGAGAGCCACATTTGAATAGACATAGGTCATAGAGTACAGTGTAATTGACTATTTAAAAGACACGGCTAATACAAGTGTTTGCAACAGTATTGTTAAGACAAGACCAAATCTATTAGCTTGCCCCAATATAACAATATAGATTAAGATAGACTTTAAGGACATAGATCTGATTTCCAGCATTGAACTAGTCATAGCTAGCACTGAAAACCTCTTAGTCCGGCAAAAGCAAAAAATAGTGGTTTTACACAGAACACAAATATCCTTCAACAGTGAAAAGAATTGTGATAAAATAAACTATAATTCAACACTGACAAAACTTTTGACACTCATATTAGCTTATGGACAGTTATCCAAGAAATTTAAGAGATCTAATACCTTTATACCAACAATTGCTAGCAAAACCAAATTATCATCTGGCAACGCCCACTGAGATAGTTGCTCTTCATCAGACGGCACTTTATCCAACTCAACTGGTCTATACGCAATGGCAACACAACGAAGACTTTGAACAGCCATCTGTTCAATAGCCTTCTTATAAAATGCCAACTGCAAAAAAATAGATAGGCAATTAGAACCACACATCATGAAATGACTACGTATGAGTGCATGCACACCTACCCTAATGCCAATTTTATGTATTGTCAAACAAATATTACCCTAAACTACGCAGGAATTTCAGTCATCTAAAAATAAGCCCAGAATCCTATACAGTTGACAAGGGGGCATAAAGTAATTACTACTAGCCTCAATCAGAACAGAGATAAAAATTTGCCCAATTATACAGATTTGCACACTATTGTGTACACTAGAAAGTCGGAAGAAAAGAGGGAAAAAACAGAAGGAAAGAACGAAAATTCTTCAGCCCAATAGATTCAGCCAGCATACAAGATCAGAAGAGGGGGAAGGGAAAATGAAAATTATGTGTTCAAGATTGAAAGAGTTCAAGGCACCACTAAATGATTAATTAGGATTACACGTAAAGCAAAACATATACTATGGCACCACATTTTCTTCTTCACCTTATGCTCATCTAGTGAAGCCACGGAGTCATTATCATCCAAGTAACTGGTGCACGAAGCAAGGACAATTTCAGCAGCCCCCTTCCAATGTACATGGACTTCAGAACCAGGCTGCAAATAACATCAAATGAAAAACATTACAAAAAGAATAAAGAAAAAAAAAAAGAATAATAAGAGAATGGTGAAAATAGCCATCTGATCAAGCACGCACTCTCACTACATTTTAGTTAATATTGTAGAATAGGCAAACAGAAAGAGAGAGACCAGGGTCGAACATTACCTAAGATTCAATTGAGCAGGCTGAGGCATGTCAATTTCATATAATAACCTAAAACTAAAGACCGTTAAACTAATAATTAGCTCATGCCATCTGTTTATTTAACAGGATTAGGAATCTCAACATTCACCTAATTGCTTTTTTATACTAATAACTAGCATTTACCACTAAAGTGTAGTGCATAACTTATTCAAGCAATTAAATAAAATTTTGGGGTACTTAACCTAGAAATGTTTGCCATCATTTAACAATTACTAGCATTTACCACTAACATATACTGCATAACTTATTAGGACACATTTTCGAGAAATTGGGTTGTATTTTGGTGTAGCTTATCTGAGAATTACTTGCCATCATTTTTAACAACAGAAAAACCATTTAGCAAACAAAAACAGGAAATTGCAAAAGAACTGGGTTGAACTAAGATTCTGTCACAAACTTACTGTTTTAACTGCAACACCTCCCCGTTTTTTCTCAGAGTTGAAAGGAAATGCATGGATGATCGTAGACTCTGCTCTTTTAGCATCAAAATTCATTCCGAGCTGAAAATTTCAGGTTAATAATGTTGAAGAATAATAATATCAACTTCCAATACCAATATCGCAATTTAAGTACCTTAACTGCCCATGAAAGGATGGCCTTTTCTGTTGGTGATCCAGAGATTTCAACATCCCCTCCACCCTGCATTTTAACAAAAAAGTGACACGGCCAAAGCTTAGTGCTTCCAATTTTAAAGATAATAACTATTACTAACGTTAATTATTTTTTCCTAGGGCACTACTAAACAACATTTCAGCTATTGTAAGAGAGGTAAGACTCCAGATTCGACAGCAGCGAGTAATTCTGTTGACCTCAGCATGGAAAACAAGAGGACAAGATGTATAACGGAATATCAACAATAGCAGATAAACATATTTAGCATACCAATTTCGCAACTATTACAAACACTAGACAACAGAAAGTACGCCATGTCATAGATTAAATAATATATACATATATATATACTTCCTCCGTATTAGATGCATCACTTTCTATATATGGAAGTTTCAGTTTAGATGCATCACTTTCCCTTTTAGTCAATAAATTTTCTCTATCTCTCTCATATCACATGGGTCCTCTTTATTTTTTCTCTCTATCTCTCGGAGTTCGCAATTTTAAAAGTGATGCATCTAATAATAAACAAAGTGTGTGTGTGTGTGTGTGTGTGTGTATAGAGAGAGAGAGAGATTGAAGGTTATAGCTGATCTAGCTAACCTCAGGCAGAAAAACACAGCCAGTAGTATTCTGCGCAATACCCTCGATGAGTAAAGAGGACAACTTAGGAGACAATAATGAACCATCATTTGGCTGATCAATTTTCTTCTCATTAGCATAAACCTCCACGACAGTCATCTGCAATGATTTAGACAGAAATATGAGATGTATGGTAATGCCCATTTCAATAAGACACTATAACAAATACACTACAAGCTTACTCATCCCATAAACAATTAACAGTTAAACACAAGGCACAGCAATAACAACTTATGATGCTTGAATGATCAAAGCCTTGCCTGATTCAGGGTCAACGTTCCAGTTTTGTCACTACATATTGTAGTCGCAGAACCCATGGTTTCACAAGCCGAAAGCCTTCGTACCTGTAGGAGAATAAGACTTGATCATTTCACAACATCATCAAATCCACAATTAATACCTAATAAAGCCTGATTACATACCAAAGCCTTGTCCCTCATCATTTTTCTCATCGAGTATGCAAGCCTGCAAAAGGCATCATGAAAAGAATCAGCAATGAGAAGGATATAAAAATAAACTACTGTTCTCTTCACCTTATTTTTGCTAAATTGAAATTATTTTAACTTAACTGAAATAATTTTTACTGAACTGAAATTATTTTTACTGATTATTATAATTTGAAGGTGAAGAGAACAGAGCATAACAGAATAAATGTCCAGAAATACAGTTGTATGATAGGTGCAATATTGAACCAAACAATATGAAAAAGTAATATGAAAAATTCAAAATATATAAGCTATATCAAACATAGCTTGACAGCAGTAGACGCAGAAAAGAAAAGAGCGATCTTTCTTCTTGGACAAATTATGTCAAGTCAATTCCCTCTTTTCCAAACTAACAATCAACTGTTTCCTTTTGCCACCTTATGGGGTAAGGGTGGATAAAAGGGACAACATTGCCATAATGGAAATCCCAGATATGGCCATTTACAATGCAGAATGAATCTCAGGATGCACACCCCTCTAGCACAGAGTATCCTGTCGTACATTTAAAATTAATGCTCTTTTGGCCCAAGCCCAACCCAGATCATATTAACACATAGGTGATAGGTGCCCTCATATATGAACCAACCCCCTCTGCATAGCTTTTTTCAATACTCATACCAAAAAAAAGGGGACCAAATAATCTCTTCACACTAAATTTTTTAATATTGAAAAGGCCTACAACTTAAGTGATGATCTCTGTCAAAACTGACTCACTTGTATTCACAGATTGTCATATCATCTAACATTATAAGACTTAAGTTACTCTGAGTTCAAAATTGTGTCGGATACAGGTGTGCGCTCAAGTGTTAAACTTGGGTTTTTTACATCAAGACTCCCAGTGGTTCTGCTTTAAAATGAAGTAGGACTCTATTAGTGTTTACCCATGTCGTAGAATCCAACACCGGTATATGAGATAAAAAGAAGATTCGGGGTAAAATGATTATGGCCCATGAAAGCAGTTATAAATGGAAAAAGAAGGCAAGCAAAAAGGTATATATCACCAAAAGAGCCTCTAACAATTATAACATTACAGAGATGTTCAATTCCTTGTATTGGAGTCCACATAAGAAAACCCAAATGAATGAAGAATTGAAGAGGATAGTAGACATACGTTAAAGTGACAGCTAAAGGAAGACCTTCAGGCACAGCAACAACCACAATAGTCACCTGGAATGTCAAGAAGTTATAATACCCACATTATTGACAACATATGTATCAAAATCAAAAAAAATATATGCATGAAAGTTGTACATACAGCAACAGTGACAATCTTGACGACTCCTTCTATAGCATGTTTTGCACTTGTCTTTCCTTTCTGAAACTGTGGAGTTCCATTAGCATCTTCTGTATGACCAGTAAAGTACCTAAACAAGGACATATATTACTTTTACTATTGTTGTGTTGCTTTAGCCAGAGGATAGAATGTACAATTGAGAACTGAATCATCTTACCTAGCAAGAAGGACAACTAAAACAACAAAGGCCACAGTTAAACCAGCAATACCAATAAAAGTCGCAAGGCCATTGAGACGCACCTGTGACAGATAAAAATATTTTTTTAAAAAACAGGATTGAAGGAAAAAAAGGACAACCAGAAAAAGACCTACAGATCTGTTGATGGCAACATATATGTAATAAAGAACTTACCTGCAATGGTGTTTCTTCACCAGTGTCTTCTGAAATACTGGCCATCAGCATACCCCATTCCGTATTTACACCCACACTTGTGACCTGAAACCAATTGTACACTTCAGACACATCCTTTCAAACCGAGATCCCATACCAAGGGTCTAAAATAATTTATAACTAGAATCACAATAAAAACAGTTGTGAGCTACAAGACCTTTAAAATACAATTTGAGATGTCTCAACAGCTCATATGAGCCCTCTTAATCCAGGGCATAATAACATGTGCAATTAGGCTTTGGGAATGACAACAAGAAACTTAAGCTATAATGGGAAGGCATAAACAGCATACTCATTTGAATCCTGGATATATAGAAGTAAGATGGGCTACAATAATGGAAGGTGCACTAACAATTTACAAATCACGTGAAAATTTCAAACAGTTGTCGGAAACCCTCATATCAATCTTTGAACAGAAAAAACTATGACTTCTCCCACATTTCAGATCATTACTAGTCAAGAATTCCACCACTCAACTACTCAAGTATTGCCAGGAATGACCACCATTCATAGCAGATGCTTTCCCCACATTATAATCTCATAATACCTTCACAATCCCTAATTTCTCCTTGGATTGGATGCCGAAACGTGCACCTTCATGTTTTATCTGTATTCCCAGGAACTGGAATTTTGCTGATTACCAAGGACATGAAGAGGTACAATACATCAACTAATCTAAGGAGAAATTTATGTTGGAAGCATTCAAATGCACATCACGTCATGATCAGATACTCAACAACCTGATATAAATTTGTGGTAAACAACCTCTTTCAGCAATCTCAGCTCACAATGAAATTCAACTTATACAAAAAAAATACTCTCTGTTTAATATCAGCTGTCCCAGTCCTCGTTCCAAAAGATGAAACCAATAATTAAAGAAACTTGCAGAGTCATGAACAAATTACAGAAAGCGATAGAGAATCCTAGAAACTAAAATAATCACTTGGGATGAAAAGAGCATAATTTTTACTTCACCACACCAACATAATTCAAATGTCAGGAATGTATAGCAAAATGCATCATCAAAAATAGCAATAACGATGAAATATATTCATAATTTAAACAGAAGGCTGTTGTCCAAGTTAAGTCTCAGTACAGATTTAAAACTATACGGGTTCAAAATTTACCAGCATAGTTCCATAGCCATCAGCTACTTTGCAGCCAGACATTAAGAAGGGTGATTTTGTATCCTTGGTAATCTGCAGAAGTCCAGTTCAAACAGTACAAAATTTAGAACAAGGTTTAGTGGATAGTATCAAGGACTACTAACAGGAAGATGCTTACAATCTTGCTCTCTCCAGTCATACTTGACTCATCAATTGCAAGAGATTGACCAGATATTAGCACTCCATCAGCAGGCACCTACAGATAATTCAAGTCAATAAGCATACACTTGAAACAAACTAGCAAGAATAAAGAGAAAAATAATAACATATTCACCTGATCACCAATTTTAAGAGGTATGACATCTCCAACTACAATGTCAAAGATTGAAATCTCCACCCTTCTACCCCCTCTGATAACCTGTGGGAAAATATATTAGAGACGACTAACACTTAACAACAACATTAAGGAAATTATGTTTCAAGCATACAACAATAATTTAATGGTGCATGCATGAAAGGGGAAAAAGTCCAATGAGGCTACTCCTACTTGAGTTGCTTATAATAAATATGGTAGAAAGTAATAAATATGGTAGAAAGAAAATGTTCAGGTATTTAAATACCTCCAGGTGTATATTCCTTTTTTCATCGTTCAGATTCTGAAACTGGAGAGATTGTCTGTAATCACTGACGGCTGCAAGATATTAAAAATAAAAATGAAATAAAAAAATTTAAAAAAAAATTATATATATATATATATATAAAAAAAAAAAAAAAAAAACGAAGTTCAAAGTCCCTTAGAATTAGTAACACAACATAGGATTGAAAAACAGCTATATATAAATTATATTGCATATATACAGGTTCCAATGACATAAAACCAAAAATAGTAAAAAACTTCTCAGCAGATACAGATTAAAATAAAATAAATACAGGGCAAAAGCAAAAAACTCAACATCAATTTTGAAAACCGCTCCTATTTCCTAGCATTTCCACAATTTCCATTTCCAATATTCACTCATCACAAGGTATAACAACGTGCATGCAACCCTCTTTACCCCCACCCGTTGCAAAGGTTTCTTCGAGGCATTGGAGTGATGTTGTTGATGATGTCATCACTAGCATTTAATATTCATATAAACCTTGTGCAATCCAAATTTGTATTTTATTATGACTTTAATACATTCAATAATGTTGGTTATCTTTCGCCTCAATTTTTATTTTATATTCTTGCAATCGGTTACTAACTCCATGATTTATGCACTCTTAGCACAAGATCTGCATCAGCCTACCCCTTGTATCATTAAAACTGCTAACATAGTTTCATCTTTTACATGACATGTTTCTCTCATTGATCAACACTTAATTACAACAGCATGTTCCTCCTAAAAGTACATTATAAAAAATAGTTCATTTGATAAGATCACTATCATAGGGGAAGTATGGGGTTGGATCATCTGACTTGGTAATGGCCCACCCCTTGTCAGCGTATATATATATATAACATAAACTTGCCATCACTCTTATCAAGACTGCCAGCTCGCAGAAAATAAAAACAATTGCAATTTATTAAATAAATTATTGACATCCTTGATTCTTGACAAGAAAACTATATATACCTGTAACAACAATAACAAGGAAAACTGCAAAGAGAATGCTACCACCATCATACCATCCTTGTTTGATTCCCTGTAGCACAACAAAATTGGTAATCACCCAAATGATTAAGAAAAAGAAAAGGGGGGAAAAAAACTTAAAAAAAAATAAAATAATTATAATCAGCTATAACTAGCATAAAAATTTCAAAGATAAATTTAAATCTCGAAAGTGAGCTAAGCTTTACATCTTAGAAAATAATAAGAGAGTAAATTAAAAAATAAATGACCGCTGCATTGCATAAGAAATACTAGCCCTATATACAATGAGAGACACATATGGCAATAAATGACCGACGCATATGGCAATTTATATTATTTACTTCAACAATTTATTCAATTCTGTCACCCATATACAATGAGAGACACATATTATAAAAATTGGAAAATATGTAATTCAGAGGTTCACAAAACATTTTTTCCTATTGAAAAATAGGTAAGTGCACAAGATTGTTATTTACCTTTCTAATAATTGAAAGTTCGAGCATCGGGTTTAGTGTCCATCTCAGTTGCATCTTTTATAGAGGTTTCATACTCTAATTTAATGTTAAGCATGTGATGTATGATAAACAATGAAATCCCTTTGTTATTCTACAAGATTGGTAATTAATTAAATTATTTTTTAAAGAATGTATAAGAACTGAAATGATAAGTTTTAATTAGGAAAGTCACAATTATGTAATTACGGAGACTGTAACTGTTGTAATTTATTATTTTATTTTTATTTTTTGAGTTTTCCTTAGGCTTATATATTTTTGGAAGATTTTAAGTTGTGACAAAATGGGTAATTTTAATATTCTTATTAAAAACACATTATTACGCAAAATTGCGATTTTTTAAATTTTTTTCTTAGCACTTAGGGGCATTTTGGGAAGTCCATAATTTGGACACAACCTTTTACTCTCCCTCCCCCTTCACTATATAATAAATATTTGTAAACAGCCTATATTTAGTTGTTTTTTCTTATAGAGACAACTATCTATTTTCATGTTTTTTATTCAGGATTACCGGTTAGACAAATAAACTCAATATTCCCTTCCCTTAACTAATTTCACTCCCTGGCTTCAAATAAAAACCAAATTTCACTCCCATAATTATGTTTTTCCTATCTTTAAAATTTCTATATATTCCATTCAATCAATCAATCAAAGCCTTAATCCCATAATTTCTATATATTCCATTGAAATTCCAAAATTTACTCACTTAAAATCCAATATCTTTGAGCATTCAAAGAGTGAATTTATTACTTAGGGGGCCCACAATAGTTTGGAACAATGTTCGATTATATATATTCCCTCCATTCCCAAAAGTTCAACTCAATTTCTATAGACTCTTGTTTCTAGGAGAGTATGTGAAAAATGAGTGGGCGTAAGAAAAAGGTGGATAAAGTTTGAAGGAGTAAAAGGTGGGTAAGTGTAAAAAAAAAGGTAGATGAAATACGAGAGAGTGGGTGGAAAGGGGTAACTAGTGTGGGATAAGAGGGGCAAGGTAGTAAAAGAGGTATGCCAAAAAAGGAACAGAGTGAAAGTGAGTCTGAACTTTCTAAAACACCCCAAAATGGAAAGTGAGTACTTTAGAGAACAAAGAGGGACTTCATATCAGTAACAATTACCCCAAACTATAAACTCTAATCCGAAGCTGAGTAATAATAGTAAGTGACGAATAAAACAGAAGTTAAAACCTCCCTAGGCCTTCAATTCATTACCTTTAAGATTCAACGAAACATGTAAGAGAAAAGAAGCACGCACCCTCTAAGTTTACCACCCTACCACTAATGGACAAGCAAACCGGAACCAACCGAATCATTGTAGCAAACCCTCCCTTTACTCAATAGATAGAGTTATTTGACAGCATGAAAATTTAAGAAAAGTTCCTAATATACATTGAGTTATAAAATTAACTACCGAATACCATATCTTTATTGGTTATTATAGCACTACCTGTTAGCAAATAATTGGGCCTCGTTAACTGAATTTGATAATCGTAGACAACATTTGGTACTGGTCAATAGTTGGTAGACAACAAAGCTTTAAAAAACTTAATCCTGATCTTGAGATTATATATAGTGGCTATGAGCATATGGAAATTTACATCAATCCCAACCTCCAATTGATAGGATTTATAAGCACAATAAAAATAAATCACACCCAAAATAAAATAACTATAATCCACAAACGGATCTCCCATTTATTAATGATAAAAAAAAAAAAAAAAAAAAAAAAATGTGTCAGTTAAAATTTTAAAAACCAAAGAGCATTTCTCTTTAGCCTGAACACTTGAAAGAAACACTGCAGGACTGCCTAAACGGAAAATTCATTAAAAAAGAAAAAAAAAATATAAAAAAAATAGGCACGCTAATTCGAAACAATAGCTCTTGGGATTCATAACCCCAATATTACCTTAAAGCAATTGTAGTCAAGGTATTGGAAAAATATAATATAGCTTATGCACTTAAGAATAACAGAACCATATAGATCAATACTCCTTTTCCTAAACTCTATTTAATTAACAATAAACTGACAAAATGTAAATGCTTCAGACTCACCTCTGATGTAATACCGAGAGCCAAAGATGCCACGGCAGCTACCATCAATATTATTAAAGTCAAATCTTGACAAGCCTCCCAAAGGAACCGCTAAACCAAGTAAGAAAAATAAGAGGATAAGTCACATCACATATACATCCGTCATTAAAGAAATCAAATTAATGCTCCTCAAAACAGCAAAACTAACCCAAAAACTTCGCCCCTTCTTTCGAGGATAAGTGTTTGTTCCATATACATTTTTCCTTTGCAGAATATCTTCATCACTTCCTGGAATCCCCTTCTCTAAATTTGTTTTAAGCTTTTCAGCTAATTGAGTTACCTAAAGTTTAATACATATAATGCATGTCAAAATAAATATTTACAGCATTGAAAACCAATTAAAAGCTTTATACACAACCAGACGACAGAAATAATTGATAAAAAAAAACCGAAAAAAAAAAAAAAAAAAAAAAAAACTAAATCCTTAATCTGCTTAACTGATTGATAATTCGAAGATAAAATTCTTTATAGCTGCATGAGCATGTATCTTATCCTCAGTAAATTTATACAGAACGCCCTCAACAACCATAATTACTACACCCTCTGATCTTCATATTCTTTCCATAATCCTTTGACACATTTGCCAATGCAAATCTTAAATCGTTAATATCTCTCTAATTACATAAGCTTGATATTCTGAAAGTACTCATTGAGACGAATCAAACAGACCCCACTTGACCATATTTTTTCTTTATATATTGGAAATAATTTAGAAGATTCTCTTAAATTGTGAATAGTGTTTAGATTCCAAATGGAAAAAACATTTAGGATCGGAGGGAGTAACTGACTAAAATCTTAGGCTAAGGTGTACAATTTGGCACTGGAAACCAACCTCAAGCCATCATTAGTTGTTGAGTTTCATTAGGTTGCAAAGAAGCCTTTTCCTTTTAGAATATCTACCAAACATTGTTTGTTTAAGATGAATTTAAAGGGTAGTTTCAAATCTTTTAAGAGTTCTGATCAAAATACATACATAGATCACTTGCAGCATATTAAGCATAGCCTGCAATAACTGATATTTAACTATAGTTTAAACCAATCAGATATAAAATTTGAATACTAACAAACTTACCCCACCCAACTGCTGTAGAACAGATAAATCATGTTCTTTTGACATAGCAGCAAGTTCATCTGGCTTAATTCCATAATCACCATGTGGAACATCAGGATACTCTTGGGTTACTGAGAAAAGCAAAACGTAGGGTGAGATAATAAACAAAACACAGAATGCTGTCCGTAAATGGCACCACAAGCCACTAAGCCAAAAATGCTATGCAGGTTATGAGCACAACTCAGCAAGATAAGGAAAATAGATATATACCACCAAAAAATGCATTGTTCATGACAAGCAAAGTAAACCTTGACATAGTTGCCAATGCAAATCTATGAAAATAAAATGACAAAAAAATAAATAAATAAATAAATAAATAAAATTTTACCCTTTTCTCTCTCAGCAGCTTCTTTAAACAGATTGGCAGCCTAAGACAGTAGCAAATAAAAATGAATAAACAGCTATTAATGGCATAATAGAAATGAAAAGTCCCCAAAGTTCAAATACATACCCGTACAACTTGAGCATGCGTTCTGATCTTCCTTATTATTTCTTTTTTCTCTTCTTCCTTCTTTAAGTCCAATGTATAACGGAATCTTCGAGAAGCATTTAGAACAAGGGCTGCTTGCTGGGGGAAAACAATATTTAATCAGCTATTCAGCTCAAAATATTTACCATGGTCAAAAATTAAATGCAGTTATAATTGCAGCATCTGGGACCAATAGATTCTGTTCACATGTAACTATTACATGACCTTCTTAAGTCTCTAAAACACCTTCCACTAATCAGCTCAACTATACGTACCCAACAAATTCAATTAGGATAGAATCAAGCTATGATATATAGATTTGGATGTATAAGACTCACACATGAACATAAACTGAATCCCAAGTTTATGGCAAGAAAAAATGGAAAATGCTTAACTAGAAGATGCTGGATATGGTTACGAGCATACAACATTGTTTTAGGGACATGACAAAAAGATATTGTCCAATGATATACAACTACTTGCTCCGTATTATGTAGGCAAGTATTTAATTATCCTTTTTTGCCCATAGTAGAAGTATTCAAGTGCCTACGCAAATTTAGGGTATTACGTTAAAATCTTGAGCATCATAGCACACAAGATTGTGCGTGAAACAATCTTGCTCAACAATTTAACTTGCCAATTTGATATTCATGCTACATTCCACTCATGCTAGAAGTTGTTTCTACAGTGTAAAAATAATTTGTAAGAAAAAAAATATATCTGTCTAACTTTGATAGTAAGCCTCCCTCAATGCACAATTCTATTCAAACCATTGACATAAGTTTGAAGTTACTGAAATTTTAATTGAATTGTTTAAAAATGTTGAATAGCATGGAGACTACATCGAGTCTTTTTATTAAACTACATAGCATTTGAAGTCTTGTTTTGGGAGCACCAAACAATGTGCACTCATTGAAGTATCTCTGATAAATTTAATTTAATTTTAGCAGCTAAGAATGTAATAGCATAGTGTACTTTAAAAATATGTGTTTTGTTTAATAAAACTCTAAGATACATCTATAATACTCTTGATCCATCCCTAATAAAAGCATCAGTTATCCTAATCATAGTTGAGTTGATTAATGTTGAATAAAAAAAATGATGAAACTGAGAATACTTTATTGTTTTTAAGGGATGTTACAGGATATATAATTTGGTTATAGAGGCTTTATTGAACAAAAGTGAATAAAAAAATAAAATGATAGGATGATGAACTCCCACCCAATTGAGGGATAGGACTTTTATTTTGAGGACAAGCAATTTAAATGAAATGGGGTTTTCATTTAGGGACAAAGGGAGAACCATTGTTTGTAAGGAATGGATGGCAATAACCTATCACCCTCAAAATACTTTGTTCAACTCCGAATGCTGCTAGCTACACTGCTCACATTTTTAGTGTACAATGAAATTTGCTTTGGTATGATAGCTCTTCCTCCAAACGAGTGAACCAATACCCTCATATCCTCAACTAAAACTTGTAATGCCTAAAAGATGTAAGCTCTAGCCACCAAGACAGAATAATCAAATCAAAGTAACTAACATGTAGGCAGCAGGCAACCCAAATATGGTTAAAGGAATCAAGCACTAATCCACAACTTATGGCTAAATCAACATTACAAAACTACAAGTAGTCGTGTACTCAGTATAAAATATGTAGCGGGTGTAATTAATAAGTGCCCATGGCTTGTAAATTTTGGGAGTTTTTTTTTTTTTTTTTCTATTTACATGTTAAGGATATGGGTATTGTAGGGAATAAATAAGCATAGTTGAATAAAGCAGTGGCAAACTTGTAAATAATCGCAATGTTTTTTCTGTTAATACGGAGTATTTATTTTTAGATATACAACGGCTTGTGATTTTATATGCAACATTTATCTTCATGAGAAGCCCCATTGGCAATTTACAAAACACATCCTAAAATATTCATCAAATTTATAAAAATACCACATGATATACCTTTGCCCATCTATGACAATTATGTACTCGGAGGACACCCTCGTATTGTATTTTACTTTTAGTTTTATTTCGGTAAGACTACGACCTTACTGACCGACAACTCTCACAAGTCATTCTGTCCAGCTTGACCTGAGAGGCCAAGGAAGGTAAAGGAATCCCCCACTTCTTATATCACCAAAATCACTAACAGAGTAACAGGAACCCCAAAATACAAAAATTAGTAACAAAAATATTATTTTAAAAAAAAAAAAAAAAATACAAGTAAAACCTAAAAATCCATCCACTACTTTCCCTTTTCTATCAATCTGAATACAAATTACTTGCCTACCCAGATTTTATAATCAAAATACCACAATGCAGTCCACCCTAAATCCCAATATTCTCACAATACCTAGATTACAAACCCCCTAAATCTCATCTATAACAAACACCCTACAAAAATACATTCCCCAAATTACAAAAAAACCCATCAAAAATACTTCCAAAAAAAATAAACCCATCAACAAATTAACATCAAAAATCACAAAATAAATACAAAAATTACAATAAATAATAAAAAAATTATAAACAAAAATTCAAAATACATAACAAAAAAAATTAAAAAAAAAATAAACATACCCTCCATCTTTTGAGGCGTTCAATAGGAGCATTCTTAGTAGTAGTAATATCAAAAGGACTAAAACCGCCGTCATCATCAGAGAAATCGCCTCGACTGCTCCCATCTCTCTCCAAATCCTTTTGCCGGCGATACGGCGAACCTTTGAACTCAACTTCCATATTTTAATGATATCTTTTTGATTTACCTTCGCAGGAGAGATGACACTCAATTTTTCTAAGATTTCGAACCAACTTTTTACTGCATTTCTTACAATTATACTCAATTTTCTCTCCTACCCAACTTTCAGAAGAAGGAGATTGTATTAGCAAGTTTTTAAGCAAAGATTTTGCAATTTAAGCATAGAAATTATATAAGATTTATAAATAATAATACAGTATAAAGTTTAGATATATAAATTTAATATGGTAGGAAGATTTTGAATCAAAATCTTTGGAATAAATTCCTTATTACTTTAAATTTTTTTTTTTTTTGGGAAATTCCTTGTTGATTACTTCACTGAAGCAAAAAGAGAAAAAAGTTGAAGAAATAATTGTATAAATAAATAATCAAAGGAGAGAAAGAATGAATACCAGAAATCTGTATGTTTCTTTACTTTTTTTTTTCTTCCTGGCTTTTTCTCTGGCAATGTTCACACACTCTGGGGGTGATGACTAGAAACTGGGAAGTTTCGAGGAAGGTTCAAAGTGAGTTATTCATATTTATTGTTGTTGATTTCGTTTTCCTTCTTTCTTTTCAACAGTTTTTTCTGTTTTTAATAATATAAGCTCGTTACCGTCTTACCGACTGGGATACTCGTATTGTATTGTACTCTCTTGGTCCTTTATTGTTTGTCATACGAAGTAAGTTTTAAATGAGGTCAATTGGTCATTTTGAATATTGTTCAATTTTCATGCATGGTAAGATTCCTAACGTATCCCATAATATACTAACACCTTTATACACACTCTATATAGAGATAGGTACACCTTACACCTGTATGTAAATGCAATAAATCTTGGTTCATTCTTTAACACAAAGTAAAATAAATTTTGTCCATGATACAACAAATAGGGACATAAAAGGATATCTTCACTGTTTATTACCAAGTTGTTTTACTTGACTTGTGACACTATTTAAAAATTTAATTTTAAAATATTTGTTTTGTTATCAATAAATTAAAAAAATAATACTGTAGATTTATTTAATTTAGATTCATGTTAATTGATGTTTTCAAAATATAATTTTTATATGATTTATGCTATGTACTCATTACTTAATTTTTTTAAGAAATATCAATAATGATATTTGTCCATCGATAATTAGACAAGAATACCAACAAAGTATTGGCTCACTTGGTAAGTTTCGTACCTCGTATATCCTAAAGGATTGGGTTTCGAATCCTAAAAAGGACAAGAGTCAATGTGAAATAACCCTATGAGTGTACTTGTGTTAAACACGAAAAATAAAGTTAGACCAAAATAAAATGTTCAAGTCTATGGCAAAATATCAACAATTTGGCACGGGTACTTAATTTGAAATTAAGAGTCAAAGTAACGTAATTTATGGAAAGGATTTTTAAATTATTTTTAGAATATCTACCTCTATATTATAAGATTGTATGAGTTCAACAAACTTGAATTTGAATAAATTGAGTCCTCTCCCAATATTCAATGTTGTGTTATATGGAGTAGTATTTTTAAGGAAAATTGGCTTAAAATAATACCAACTATCAACGGTGTGTGCAAAATAATACGAAGATAGCTATTTTCTTTTAGTGGTACCACCTTTTGTACTATATGTGGAAAATAGTACGCTGGTCACCGAAAAAGTATCGCGAGGAATATTCCATCTATATTTATTACTATTATGTTTTGTTATTAATTTTCTGTTTTCTTTTCAAAATACATACGAAGTATTATGTTATAAATTTTCTTTACAGCACAATCCAAATTAATAATGCCCCACCCCTTTGTAAGGGTTTTTTTTTTTTTTTTGGGTTGGTGAACGTGGGAAATTTTGGATTTTTGAAACTAATAATATCAACATTTTTTTAAGGCAAAACTAGTTATATCAACATAATAATACATTTAAATACCCTGTTTACTATTGTGTGATTGTAGTAGAAATTACTACAGGTATTTTAAAAAGAAAATATTTAAACACATATTGACAATTCAAAAAGAAAAAAAAAAACAAAAAAAAAAAACCTAACAAGCGGTGGGGCATTATTAATTTGGATTGTAAAGGAAATTGTTAACAATTATACGTATTTAGAAAAGAAAAACAGAAAATTAATTAAAAAAAATAATAATTAATTTATATGCGGAATATTTCTCGAAATACTTTTTAGGTGACCAGCTTACTATTTTGCACATATAGTACAAAAGGTGGTACCACTAATAGCAAATAGTTGACTTCGTATTATTTTGCACATATAGTACAAAAGGTGGTATCGCTAATAGCAAATAGTTGAGTTCGTATTATTTTGCACACACCGTTGATAGTTGATATTATTTTAAGCCAATTTTTCTATTTTTAACCCAAAGTTTTTGGTTAAACTGGAACAATTTTCTTACAAGCTGATGACCAAAAGACTACACCTTAGTCATCGACTCATTTCATCCCAAAGTTGTTTATTCATTCTTAATATTTTGAAAATCATGAGAGATCATATTAAAAAGACACCTCCAAAGTCAGGACTTTTACTTTAAGTGGAGACAAAAACAAAAAAAAAAAAAATTAAAAACTATTGTTACTCCGTATTAATTATGTCAATGTTTTTCCAATTTTTTTGATTAGTTGATTTTTTTTCAATTTTTTTCCAAGCATTAGAATTAAGAGCTAGGTGATGATGTACCATGATTCATGTATTTAAAAAGAAGCAGCGGTGATTCTAAGCATGTGCAGGGTGGTTGATCAGCATAGGATCCCTAAGTGAAAATACTATAAAAGGATCCCAACATTTGAAATTTACTTATACAAAGTAAAGAGAAAACTTGTTAATTAATAATCTATTTTTCAATTTTATCATAAAATTTATAATTTAGTAAAATATTTTTCCTTAAAGAAATGATTTTAGGACCCAATTTAATAAATTTACACCGGATCATTTTCAGTGTTAGCATTTATAGCCCCACCTCTATGACTATTAGCTAGAGTAGTGACTGTAGTTGTTGGTACATAACCGTATGTACAACACACACAGACACACTACATTATGATTATAGTGTAGTTGGGGTTCATCAAATGATTAAATCATCAAATTTCTTAATTCTTACTAGTGGTTTTCTCACTCATTGATGAAAAGGATGATGATATGTCATTATTTATAAAAACAATTAACATTGACTCTGTTTCTTTTTGTTTGTAATTTAATTAATTGTCCTTATTACTTGCTACTTTCCTACAGAATATAGGATTATAGGGTATATGAAAAAGAAAAGCAAGTTTCCTTTAATTACAAAGTGTTTTGACACATTTTAAGAAGGTTATAAGTCATGATAAGATGCAATTTTGATGAAACACCTCCATAGCTAGACTAAAATGTGTTGATTGAAGATGACTAATAGAGTACATATAAAACTAATCATCACGAGACTCTAACCATTAATTTAAGTTTTCTTTGATATCATGTACTGTTAAAAACTAGCATGATTAAAAAAAAAAAAAAAAAAAAAAAAAAAAAAAAAAAAAAAAAGTGTCATAGATACAGTGATCCATATTCCTTCCCTTTAAAAGTAAATATATAGCGCTATGCATTTATCCACACTTCAAGTAATGGTACCATTAATCATGGAATCCTAACCATTAGAGATAGGGCGTAAATGGAAAAATAATGGTACCAATATTCAATTAAAAAAATTAGAGATGGGTATATCATGACTAATGCATATATATGGTGTAATATCCTCCTTGTCTCGATTTATTTGTCATTCTATTCTACTTATTATCTTTATTTACTTTATACATATTCTATTAAAATCCATTGTAGTCTCATTTATGAGTATTTCACATTGAAAAAAAAATGAAAGATGATTTCACTTTACTCCGTATAAGGTTGAGGAGTTACTCCTACTATAAACAATTGATTTTAGTGTGAAACCTTCTTGGACCTTGTTTATCGACTAAACTCTCCTCCTCCTAGTCATATTGAAGGATATATTAACTTTACAATATTTGCTATTTTTATTGCTATATTTGCTAATTATAACAAAGATTTCTCTACTTAAAATTTTGCCCCATATTCTTGAGTGTTTTTTTTTTTTTTTTTTTTCCTTCCAGAGTTCCAGAGCAGTGGAGAATGATACTAGGCATTTCGTGCGGACTACGTAAAGAAAAGAACATACTACTATTACAAAGTTACGGAGTATATAATAATAATATGAATATATATATTTATTTGATTTTTTGCTGTAAAGATTTAAACTGTTATTACATTAGAGAGTATTAAAAGAGTGATGATTCATTTGATTTATAAGCTATATGCAATTGCCACCTGTTTCCACACACAAGAAGGGACTTGCTATCGTGTTATCGTCGATTATGAGTTGTAATTCAAATCTTGTTCTAAACTAATACTATCACTTCAATTACTTGATCGAATTGGCACAGCTCCTCCATCCAGTCTCAGATCCCATTGCTTTCGATCAGTCGCTCCTTGATAGACTTTGGACCTTTTTTTTTTCCTTTTAAAAAAGCTAATCTCCTACATCACCTGCTCAATACACGGTGGTGGTAGATTTCATTTTTGTATTTTATATATACTATGAAATATAATACTTCATACGAAGCATTATTTTATGAGTTGAAAGGTGATGTACATTATATTGAGATAAGAGAGAAGGGTTAGAGTTGTTGCTACCTCTCCTAAGGCGAGAGCTGACATAGAGGTAGGTGTATTAAAGGATGATTTATATTTCATTTGATACTTTTTCGTAAAAAAAAAAAAGAAAAAAATCATCTCATTTGATATTCTTATACTCATTCCAACTAAGGCTATATTTAATTCACTTTATGTCGCCTTATATTCTTGATGACCAACAATAATTAATAAGTAGAATTCTTACCGTCTTAATTATCTTTTAGTTATACTTTCATTTGCAATTGCAACTCAAATACATCTAACTTTGAATTAGAATTGTTTATTCGTTTTCTTCATTCATTAGTTCTGCTGTATTATTGTTTGCTAATTTTCATTATGAATTAATATTTAAAAACTCAATATATATATATACAAGACTATTATTCATAAAAGTAATAATTAGGGGCATCTCTCGAATCACACACTGATTAGAACTTTAAGTCAAAAGAGAGAAAACATACAATATAGTAAGTTGAGGAGCAATAACTGCTTGTATTATTAAAAAATACGGAGTACATAATAGACTTATAATAACCGATTGTAATAAGGATCTTCAACATACCATAGTTATACGGTACACTTGTGCACTGATTGCACCAACTGGTGAAATAACCCCAATAAATATAGTAAGTTGTTATTTTGACAGTAGCATTATGATCAATATATGCACTCGGGTAAACCAAGTCACCAACTAGTTCACATTTACATAGAATATATAATAAGCTGGTCATATATGCATATTGGATCCTTGATCAGTTGATCCATGTAGATATTGTTGGCTAAATACAGAGAATAATTGAAAAGTGAATAACGGTAAACTGGTGAAACATTGACATTCTTCAAAGCGCCGAGTACGGAGTGGCAAACAGTATGAAAGAACATGCGTCATTAAATGTTAATTGCTTCTAACTAATGGCGGTTTGGTCGGTTGCATTGGGTTTTTGCAACGTGATTTCCAATGACTTCTTCACATGTGTC